AACAATTGGAAAAGCTGAGAGAGTAGTTTGAGAATCTCACCTGCTTGTTGCAAATTGAAGCCATTTGCTTGGTTATTGCTTTGTTTCTGTTTCCTTTTGCGAGCTGTTGCTCTGCTTCCTGCACCATTGCCATGCATGGCATGCATCAATGCGTTCCGCTCTTTTGAAGACACAGCCCAAATCTTCTGAAGCAAATCGAAACTTGCAAGCACCACATCTGAACAATTCGTTTCTAAGCACTGCCAAGGCCCATCAGCAATGCATAGACCCGCAGCCACCGCGCGGAGGTTGTCCAGATAGCTGCCAAAAGGCTGATGCGCCTTCTTTTAGCAGCAAACAATCAAGCCACCAGACGAAACGAAATCATAAAAAGCTACCTTCAACTGGGTTCAAGCAGCAACCGATATGCACCCCGCTTGCCCCAACAAGAAACAAAATCATCTACAAAACAGCTTGCTCCGACGGACCCAATTCTGGGTCCGGAAAAGCTTCTCAAAACCGGCTTCGCTCAAAAGGGCCTCCCTAGTTGCCCTTCCGGTCGCCATAAGCCACAAAGTTTCATTGAAACCAAAACGTTGCGCTTCTGCAACCCTGATACAAAAAACTTCAAAAAATGAACCTAAACACGGTCCCAAAAATGGGACCCTGGCGGTCCCATTTTTGGCGGTCCCATGCCGCATGCTTAGTAAAAGAACAAAGAAAAAGCACTTTCACGGTCCCATTTTTGGGACCGTCTGGCGGTACCAAAAATGAGACCGCAAAATCGCAAAATCAACAGCAAAGGCCGACCCGTGCAACAAACAAAAAATGACAACTGCGTTTAGTTAAGCAACAAGCATATAGAGTTGGAACAGAGGAGGCCCGCACATGCGAAGCCTGATTTCAATTGACTTTCCGGCCCCAGAAATGGAACCTGAAAGCGCACATGTGGTATCAGCTGTCTCCGTTCCCTAGCTCCAATGCGGCGATTGCAATGCAGCACCACCCAGGCAACATTCACCAATCCGTCGCTACTCCGCGCTACTCCGCTACTCCGTGGTATGTTTAATTCAATTACCCAATGTAATTGACACGATATCGAAACGATGGCGGAGTAAGAAAGCCTTCAATACTTCACCTTTCCACATCTTTCCCTAAGCAGATTCTTACTCCATCCCGTTTTAAATTAATACTATTAATTAATAACGGGATTGACTGAAAAGATCATAATTCATGTTCTTTCTGGGCTGAAAACTTCGGTAGGAGTCTAGAGGGGCAAGGGGGGCCAACAAGGGGCAGTAAGTATTCAATACAATCATTCAAATGGAAGCCGGCCACCTGCGCGAAAACCCACAAACTCCGCAACAGCAAGAAACACCTCAAGCAATCACCTAAGGCTGCAAAAGGCTGATGCGCCTTCTTTTAGCAGCAAACAATCAAGCCACCAGACGAAACGAAATAATAAAAAGCTACCTTCAACTGGGTTCAAGCAGCAACCGATATGCACCCCGCTTGCCCCAACAAGAAACAAAATCATCTACAAAACAGCTTGCTCCGACGGACCCAATTCTGGGTCCGGAAAACCTTCTCAAAACCGGCTTCGCTCAAAAGGGCCTCCCTAGTTGCCCTTCCGGCCGCCATAAGCCACAAAGCTTCATTGAAACCAAAACGTTGCGCTTCTGCAACCTTGATACAAAAAACTTCAAAAAATGAACCTAAACACGGTCCCAAAAATGGGACCGCCTGGCGGTCCCATTTTTGGGACCGCATGCACAGCTTAGTAAAAGAACAAAAGAAAAGCACTTTCACGGTCCCATTTTTGGGACCGTCTGGCGGTACCAAAAATGAGACCGCAAAATCGCAAAATCAACAGCAAAGGCCGACCCGTGCAACGAACAAAAAATGACAACTGCGTTTAGTTAAGCAACAAGCATGAGTTGGAACAGAGGAGGCCCGCACATGCGAAGCCTGATTTCAATTGACTTTCCGGCCCCAGAAATGGAACCTGAAAGCGCACATGTGGTATCAGCTGTCTCCGTTCCCTAGCTCCAATGCGGCGATTGCAATGCAGCACCACCCAGGCAACATTCACCAATCCGTCGCTACTCCGCGCTACTCCGCTACTCCGTGGTATGTTTTAATTCAATACCCAATGTAATTGACACGATATCGAAACGATGGCGGAGTAAGAAAGCCTTCAATACTTCACCTTTCCACATCTTTCCCTAGCAGATTCTTACTCCATCCCGTTTTAAATTAATACTATTAATTAATAACGGGATTGACTGAAAAAATCATAATTCATGTTCTGCTGGCTGAAAACTTCGGTAGGAGTCTAGGAGGGGCAAGGCGGGCCAACAAGGTGCAGTAAAGTATTCAATACAATCATTCAAATGGAAGCCGACCGCCTGCGCGAAAACCCACAAACTCCGCAACAGCAAGAAACACTTCAAGCAATCACCTAAGGCTGCAAAAGGCTGATGCGCCTTCTTTTAGCAGCAAACAATCAAGCCACCAGACGAAACGAAATCATAAAAAGCTACCTTAAAACTGGGTTCAAGCAGCAACCGATATGCACCCCGCTTGCCCTAACAAGAAACAAAATCATCTACAAAACAGCTTGCTCCGACGGACCCAATTCTGGGTCCGGAAAAGCTTCTCAAAACCGGCTTCGCTCAAAAGGGCCTCCCTAGTATATATATATATATATATATATTGTGTGTGTGTGTGTGGGAGTGTGTGCTTGTGGGGCAACTGTGTTTATCTGTCGACATCTTTCGCAAACTCCATGCGTATCTTTCGCGAGACCCACTTAATTAAGGCCTCGCGTGTTGCCTCTTATGAAGATTCGGTCATTCGCTGCCAAACTAGAGATGTCGCCTTGCCAGCATCACAGAATATCACAGAATCCTAGCTGGAGTTTTTGTCCTCAATGGGCCAATCCCTTCAAAGTGCACTTGAGTCATTTCGCCCGCTCCTTGGCTAACTTTCGCGTAACTTCCGCGAGAATATGATCAATGATAACTCATAATATCTAAGTTTTGCATACTTTATACTTTCGCGAAACTTTCACCAAATAAAACGTTACTTTTGGGAACTCAGAGCAAAAACTTTCGCAAGGGTTCTGAAAATAACATGAACCGAAAAATTGTTATTCATTATGGAGGACTTCAGATCAACCACCATACATGGAACGCATGGAACAATATTTTTATAATTATATAAATTAGTTGCAAAAGGAGGTAAATAGATTGCTTGTATTTGCAACATCTCGAAACTGTATGAAACATGGTCGTCCGACTGGTCGAATTTCCTGTCGACCCAAATGTTAGCGCCTGCCATTGGTAGCGTTGGTAATGTCCGACAACACCATGAGCACCGTCCCAGGGCGGCTCTGGGCTCCTGCCGGTCGACCGGCTCGGGCTGAAGATTGCCCGAGACTTATTCCTAATCCTCTCAAGTAAAACACGCCTAAGTATATATATATATATACATATATCATATATATATACAGATATACATATATCATATATATATATATAATTATATATATTTACATAACATCTATCTATCTGTCTTTCTGTCTGCCTGCCTGCCTGCCTGTCTGTCTGTCTGTCTGTCGGTCCATCCATCTATCTACCTATCTATCAGATCTAAATGAGCCGCGGACGATATTTGGTACATAACTCATAACACAATTGCCGAGGTGTTCCTACGTCGTTCTCCAGTCTAATCTTCGTCAGTGCTTCAGGCACCATGATCCGTCTTGGGGTCTTGGAGTTCAAGTCTGCTAGGGGCATATGCTATAATGGCTAGAATCTATTTGAATCTATCTGCATTAATCTTTATCACTAACATCCTTCAAACAAATTTAGGAGTCAAAATTTTCAACCCTCCAAAATACATGGTTTAATCCCAAACATGTCAATTGTATTCAAGTTTGACCTAACATACCCAGACCCAAATCATCCCATTCCACTGGTTGGTAGGTATCTGCCCCAACTATGGGCTAGTTCATAATCCTATACATCGACCATCATTTACCAGCTCTATCACCATTTGATGGTAAAAAAAAACATATTTGACACTTAAATTCCACCAAAACACCATATTTGATGGTTAAAACCCCATATGAACCCATCAAACGCTGTGATTTTAGTGCTTCGATGTGCTTCGCAACCGTTTCAATCACCACTTTTGCCATGCGACCGCCATAAAATGTCTGCGGTGCGCGGCCCCGGTGGCCCCAGCGTGGCCCCAGCCACTCGCAGCCCAGCTGGCTGGGGGGTTCCACACATAGCTACTAGCACGCAAAAAACACTTGACATATATTAGTAAATCTATATGAATATATTTACTGTATATATAATTTCATTTTATATGTGTATTATATATATATATATATTAATGTGTTACTATACACTATATGTGTATATTATATGTTATGATTTACTATACTATACTGATACTGTACTGTATTATATTATATACATATCATATTATATATAATATACGTATATACATGAGCTGTGTTCAAATGGTCTAACAGACTGCTTACGCGGCAGCTTACGCGCTGCTTACGCGCCCGCAGTTTTAGCTTACGCGCAGGAATAGCTTTCGCTGATGCTTACACGGGCTTACGATGGCTTACGTACACCAGGGTTTTGCTTACGCGAGGTCCTTATTGCCACCCTCTTACTAAAAATGAATAATTAAGTGGGTTTTGGATGTGGCTCATATGAATTAATCATCTATCCAAATTCAAAAACAACAATTACAAGTATATCATATCATATCATATTAGTTAGGATCATCATCCGATGTCTGAGACAAACGATAGTGCTTTAAAACATGTTCACACCACCTAGCTCTCGCGTATCGAAGCGTTAAAATCGTCATGTGTATCCATTGTGTTGTTTGAAACCACCAGCCAGTCATCATTTTGGGTCTACCACTATGACCCGAAAATCGCTTTAAGAGGCACTCATTGCATGGAGGCTTGCTGACAGCTTGCCCGCAGCTCACGCTTCCAATGAGGCCATGATGTCCCCAAGCATCTGCCTGCCGGCTCCAAGAAATTTGCTGTGCCATGGATTTTATGGGAGGAAAAAAAAGTCGTTTCAGTTTCATCTCATTTCCCTTGGCATATCTTGGCATGCTTTCACGGAACAGAGGCTGGAAATATCATCATTTTGGACCAACAACTCCGGCAGCCGTAGCTGGAGCATGGAATAAAATGAATCATTCCGGCCTGGCATCTTGTTCCAAGGGAATTGGCTGAGCAGAGTCTACGGAATACCTTGAAAGCCGGCAGCGGCAACATCATCCAATTGATCGGTCGCTAAAATGAGAGGAAACCAATGGTTTCCTGCAGCCCAACAGTTATTGAAACACCCTGGTTTCATGCGACTGTCATGGCTAGTTCCAGGTGGTTGCCTTTCACAAAACTACCAATTGAACAGCCCACCTCCTTTGTAGACAAAGTGCAAGACTTCAGACAAAACCCTAAGGTCTGAAGAGTGTATATGGCCTGAAAAACCCTTGATCTTTCAATCTCCTCTTAGAAGTATGACCTGGCACACCAAGGACCCAATCATTCCTTAGCCCTTTTAACCGGGGAACAGCCCCCTATTCCATTCACATTTAACCACATTTCCTCGCCAAGATGCCTCACCCGCTCATTCTCTTGCCAAATCTCTTTGCTTGAACGAAGTACCAGGGAGCATTTCTTCCATTCCATTTTCTGATTCACCTCCTGCCATTCCCGAAATCCGTGGAAAGACCAACCGAAGATAGTTCTTTTCTGATTTCAGGATCAACGGGTCACGTCAAAGATCTAAAATTTATGGAGTTTCAGAAATGTTCTCAACGGATTTGAGCAAATGATCCCCCATGGCCCCAATCATTTACAATCACCTACACATGATTTTCCAATGAACACATATTAACATATATTAACATATATTAAAAGTTACATTTTTAGATTAGAGGCAAAACCCCAGCCAGTCAGCACCCTGGCAACGTTCCTTCAGCGGCTGCGCCCCTTCTCCACCGTTGTGTGCGGCTTCGAAGATCGCCATGTAGTCACCTGGGACGGGTCAGGGACTGTGAGATGATGCTCAATGGTTAATTTTTGGTCAATTAAACCCCTTAAAATCATAGTGTAATGATTGTATAAATCTTCGCAGTTCAAAAGAATCCGAAACTCAGGGATTTTTTTAAAAAAACTCCATCCAAGTCTTGCCCTTGCTGAAAACATCTTATGTTGTGAAACGAAAATTCGCGCGATCCAAGATGGAACTTGCAGAAAAGTCACGCGCTTCTCGGCCCAGGAGATTCTTAACCACCTGGCTGAAATGGTGGATGTCCTATGGGCATAAATTTCAATTTCAGGCATGCCAGCCACACAGGGTATATCGTGGAAAAGGCATGCCCAATTGAATTTATTGGAAGTTCATGCCGTTGCCATTGCAGAGTCTTAATTCCATTCTGGCACACATGCGCACGCATACATCTAATTACAGTACATCTGAATTTATATCCAGATTTACATCTCTAGTAATATAATATATATATACATACTCATGCGGATCTTGGGAAGTGTTGTATCTGTGGAGCTATCACTCTTGAGTCGTTGAATCATAGCATCATCGGTTCCCACTGGCGCACATCATCATAGAGGTTCACTTCCATTTGATCCTCAGCTCCAAAGGCTTTTTTTGGAACTGAGGGCTGGGATGCAGCTACCTGAAGTGATGACACAAGCGGCTGGTTGAACATGTAAGAACGAGTCTTAACGAGTCTTAACGAGTGAACCTTGATGAACTTTGACCCTGGCCCTGTAAACCTATATGGAAAATAGACCAAAAGCAGCGGCCCGTGGCCATGGTCGGTTTCCTACGCCCAGAGACAAACAGTCAATTTTTCACCAGCCAAAAGGGCCAAGAGGATGGTTTCGTCAGAAATAGGGTTTTAACGTGATCTATCTATATTATCTGCACATATATTTATATAACAATAATTAATAGTAATATTATATAATATTAATATATATTAATAATGAATAATAATAATAATAAGCAAAAATATATAGATTTGACCAACAGAACGATGTTTCACAATGATTGTGTTGCCTTGGAATTCGCCCCCAAAACGAAGCAGTTCCGGGTCTCCGTGTGATCCAGCACGTTGAGGCGGCAGAGGTAGCGGAACTCGGGGTAGCTGGAAACGTGACCCCCCATGCAGGTCCACTCGCCATTCTCTCTCTGGCTCACTTTCTTGTTGCAAATCCTGCGGATGTTCGACGTTGGCTGCTGGCTTGCGGCGAGAAAAATCACAGTGGACAAAATGAAAAATCAACAAAAAACATGGCCATCTCTCAGGACGTGAGATCATGATGGGCCAAGCTTTTACCCGGGGCCGCATATGTTTTCGCAGTGTTGCGGGAGAAATTCCTGGGTTTTGATGGGTTAGAAATTCCCAACCCACCAAGAAAAGCCACCCGTCAGTCCTCATCGTGGCATGACGCGAAGCAGGTGCATTGGATTCAACCTGCTGTGGGCATGAGCTGTAGTACGGTGCCCGGTCGGTCCTAAGATCTTGCGGCCGCGACATGGGACCGGCAAACGTAACATGGCCGGGACATGGAGATATCATTCTGTCAATGGGAATTTCAGGATCCTAAAATGAGGTACTGTACCATGTAAGGCAAGATGTTGTTGGGATATTCCCTTACATAGGCCGTATATATGGTAGGTACCTCCAATTGAGGTTCCTGAAATGGTAATTGATTCTATGATATTTTATGTATAGGTGTATCTACCTACGGTGCAACTAATGTGGATATGTGTGGATACGCTCAATTATGATCCCACAAATGGGGTATGGCAGGGAAAATGAGGCGACTGATCTAATCTCATCCAATCTTCATGGAACCCTAGGGTGCCCCCTTTGGGGGTATCCCGCAACAGCGGACGCTTATATAACTAGCGGCTAGTAATGAATAGTGCGGGTGCATAACCATTCAATAAGGCCATAGTGTTTAAATCAATGGATTGGTTTAAGGGAAAATTTACAGGAAAGCCCCATTATTTAATGGGAAAATCTATGGTTTCCATTGATTAAAAGAGGATCATATTATTCATATTGCAATAATATCTCTATTTCAGCGCGACTATGATCATCATATCCCCCTAAGACACTCTCGCTGATCATCCATCGATCCATATGGGTTGGGGATGGTTGGGGTGTATGCTGCATTTTCAGACACCCCAATTGGATATATGATATAGTTGGTTACATATCCCCACAATAAATGGTCCCATTAGGTTCCAATTGCCCCCCGATTCTTGGTTACATCCCCATTCATATCTTTCAATCAAAGGATGAGGATGAGGAGGATGATGATGATGATGATGCTGCTGCTGCTGGTGGTGGTGGTGGTGGTGAACCACTGGATTTGGCATAGGTGCGAGTTCTGGACCCAGTACATTATATATCCATGTATATAATCAATATCCAATTGAACCTCCATAAAAACAGATAAAATCCCACAAAATCCAAGAATTTCCCATAGATTCGCAATAACATCTCATCAAATTCCCATGAAATCCACTGAAATCCCCTGTCAAAACCACCATCAAATCACCATGAAAAAATGTAAAAACCTCCAGGCTAGGCATCGGCATGCTGGTCAGGGTTGCCACCACCGTGTGCTTGTGCACGCCCTTCTCCCCACCGCCCATCATGGCACCGGGGGAGGCCAGTTTCAAATCCTCCTAGCCCAAGGCGCTGCGGAAAATCTATCTGATTGGATTGGTTTAAGGGAAAATTTACAGGAAACCATAGATTTTCCCATTAAATATGGGGCTTTCCTGTAAATTTTCCCTTAAACCAATCCAATGACTATAGGAACCACAGGTTTTTACCACCCGCGATTTTTTAACTGTTACCATCTGGCTATGACTAACATAGGGAAAATCACAATTTTTTAATAGGTAAACCATCTATAAATAGGCCATGTTCCATGGCTATGTTAAATAACCAGAGGGTACGTTTTTTGAGTTTCCCATCATTTTCTTCCATCCAGTTGCCAGTTTTTTGAGATTTGAGGCTTTGAAATGAACAACAGATTTAAAGCATTGGAAGGATTGGTAAACGTGAAGCCACGCAAATTTGCATTTGAGATGGGTAATATTGCATGTCAGGCATAGTGGATTGAATATCAGATCTAGATGGAATAGTTTCCTGCCAAAGTGCAGGATTTTTTTTGTTGAACTTGGTCCATCTTTTAGGCTTTTTAGGTGGATCTTTGCTTTGGGATTGGTGGGTTGGCGGTAGATTCTTCCCAGGCCCTCTTGCAGGAAAGCTTGAGAAACTTACATGTCTTTTGGGCCAGCTCTGTTGTGGAGATGCCCCTTAAGCTTGTCCTAGAGGCAAGCTGGTGCATCTACGCCCAACTTGTCATCCCTGAAACGCCGTCGCAGCACATCCTGCTTACACTCTTCGATGGTCTTTCGCTGACCGGAAGAATTCGAGAACTTGGAGGGCGAAGCAAGCTGCTGACCAGAGTCCTGTCAAGCTCCCAGCTGTTCATGGTCGTTTCGAATCACTAGGGTCACTAGGGTCACTAGGGCCACTGCCCTCCTTTAAGCAAACACGCCTGACCGTGGTGAAAATCACAGAAAATCCATGAGACCTCCCCAATTGCAAGGAAATTCTTACAAGCACGGTTGAAAATTAAAAGCCATTTTGGAATGGGGAAATCCGATCTGTTTTTACCCTACTGGTTTTTGAATGGATTGCCTGTTTTTCTGGCGTTCTGTATCTTAAATCCCTAGTATACACTTGGTAAGTACCTGAGGACGTTCCCAGTCGCGCTGGCAGAAATACCAGGCCCCCTATAGTGGAACGGTGCTCCTGGAAATCCTTAAACTTCCGCATCAGCAGAAAGGAATCCTGGCGCCGATGCGGAAAAGGATTCCCCGGAATTGGATGGAAAATCTACAAGGAAATCCCTATCATTGGGTAAAAAATGGTAAAAATGTAAAAACATGTAAAAACCCATGGTGTCCTCATTCCCTGCAGTCCTCAAACCCACCCGATGAAGGATGGTAAACCCGTTTTAGTACTGGATCTATTTATTTCGAGGATTTTTCATAGGGGAAGGGATTGCTCTGGAACGCTTCACCCCAAGGACGTGATCCTTGTTTTCCTCAGCTTTTGCTGGCAAAATCGCCATTGATTGATGATCATCAGACGGCATTTATTTATATATGTATGCATATATGTATGTATATGTGTATATACACATATGTGTATATACACATGTATATATATATATATACATATGCGTGTATATATATAATATATATATAATTATATTATATATATATAACTAATATAATTATATATGCATACTCCCAATCATTCTGATGGTCAATGTGATTAATAGGCAAACACCAGGGTAACCCCCCAGTGACTCAGTGAACAGCGCCTCATGGTCCGAATGCAACTCCAACTGTGCTGGGCTGCCAAGGGACTTCATCTGGTTGAACTCTGAGATTCTTGCCTTGCGCGGTGGTAAACCATAGGAAACCCAAGTACCATTTTTATGGGTGCGTAATAAAGGTGCGATAACCATTCTCAAATGGTAGGTGTACATTGGGGTTCAAACGTTCAAACAGTCATCTATTTTGGATTGATTATAGATACTGCAAGTTGATCATGGACATTTAAGAAGAATCTATGTGTATCATGTTGTATCTATTTGTTATGATCTAATTCTGCAACAGTTATTTCATATGTATCAATGAATCCAAGAAATTTAATGATACTGTCAGACGTTCAGACTGTCTATCTGTGTGTCCGTCTGTCTACGTGTCTTGTTTTTCTTGCTGTCCATCCATCCATCCATCCATCCATCCATCCGTCCATCCAGCATCCGTCCATCTACGCATGCCCCTGCAAGAATCTGCAACAGGACCCACACGACGAGAATTGCCAATGTCCAGTTGTTTTATTGGATCCTTTGGGGGCAGTTCCGATGCAGAAACCGCAACTTGTGAACGGAACTATTAGGCCATTGTTGCGCCGCCCCCCTTGGTTTTCCTGCAATCCTGTTCGCCGATTCCCGTCAAAAATTGATGTCGAAAGGGATGCCGGGTTTATCTTCAACGTGGGTCTATCCACAAACCTCTACTGTTTTACCATGATTTAGGATCGGCAAGACCTCTGCATTGGATCCCACCGGAACACTACAAATGACTCGTGGAGTTCACCCAATCCTAACGGTCCTAACGTTGTTGTTTGAAAGGATTCATCATCGAAAACTTTCTTCAAAGTCTCGTTTTCTTCAGATTTCATCAAGATTTCATCAAAATCATCAAATGCTGCTACCAATTCACCAAATTCATCCGGTTTTCATCATCCCAATTCCCAAAACCCATGGATCTCCATGGATCACATTTTCGCGCCAAATGCACCTTCTTCAGAAACACCACAGCTCCAATTTCGAAGTCTGTCCCTACGGCGCGCTCGTTCCAAAGGACCAGCTCCATGGTGCTGTGGCCTGGACCATGGCATCCGTGGCCATGAATTTTTCGTGGACTACATGTTATACCATATGGATGCCCATATACAGTATATATATATATATGTGTGTGGATATATATGTGTGTATGTATATGTGGATATGTATATATATATGTGTGTGTGTGTGGATATGTATATTATATATATGTGACATATTGGCAGAATTTCGCAGACATATATGCAAGTCACTGACTAAGTACAATACCTACAAAAGGAAGCAAAACTTCAGCGCGGATTGGAGCAGTGTCTTGCAGATACTGTCTGCATCCCACAGAAGAACTTTCACAAATGTTTGACCTATGCTTTTCTAGAAGGGTTGTCCCTACAAATGATCTCTGAATCTAGCAAATGGTCCGCAACTCAAACCACTTCTCAATCAAAATAAGTAGGAAATAATTCTAAATAATTCGAAACACATGGATATTCGAAACATTTCGAAACATATCTGGGCAAATTATAGTACTTTCACTAACCTGAAATAAGAATAAATAAGACCATATTGGGATAATTATGGATAATTCCCTTACTTACAAACCATTATTCCAATTTTTTTTGGCTTCTCAGAGGGATAATTCCCCAAGAGCCAAACCATTATTCCAGTGAGGGCTCCATAGATCAATAAATACATCGTTGATCATGGAGCCTGAAGAGCCAGATGGGTCCCACAGGCCGATCTCCCGCTTCGTCATCTCCTGACGGAGAATGACGGCGTTAACCCATATCATCCCATACCTATATTAATACAATTATATATAGGTAATGTATACATAAGCATACAGTATTCAAGATATGAACATTGCATATATATATACAGTATATAGTATATGATTGGACAATTAGAGACATGTTTAGCGGATGCTACTGGATTTAGAAAATCTTTGGATATCTTTGGATAGTTCAATGAAATACAATTCCTCCCAACTAGCAGACCTCGAGAATCGCTCGCAAATGGCAGGGTCATCAAGGTCTTGTGCAAAATGAAGCGAACCAACGAATGATTTACCCTCCGAGGCACCAACCATTTGATCAACCATTTGGGGGTCATTTTACATGATCGATACCCTCCGGTAAACTAACATAGCTATTGAAAATGGCCATTTATAGTGGATTTACCCATTGAAAATGGTGATTTTCCATAGTTATGTTAGTTTTCCAGAGGGTATTTGGGAGGTTCCTAGAATGGTGTCCCCCCAAATCATCCCCTGTAAAGGAATTTTCGATGAAGAAAACATCTTGATTTGGTGAACCGCCCCGGTGGAGGCAGCAAAGCTGAGGATACATATAATATACATACAGTAGCATGTAATACATGTACCACACACACAGATATATATATATATATATACATATGCCCATAGATATATGCAATCATATATAAATTAATAGATTATACTATATATATATATATAAAATACTATATATAGATACATATAATGTTACCTATATAATTAATGTAGACATCCCCCATGTACAGCTCGCTAGATGCTTTGCGGCCGGCTTTATAGAGAATAGCCTGGTATAAACTGGAATGGCCACATGTTTGGAGTCTATAAAGTGGAAAACCAACATGTTTTGTCTATAAAGTCAAAATCCAACGTTTGTATAAAGTCGCCTGGCCGCGTAAAAACATAAAACTCGATGTAGGTTTTTGAGGGTACTTGTGAACATGTCCCATGACTATAAAGTGAGATGCCGGACATCCAGATAGTAATACTTGTGTCGAACAGTGGCACTATAATGTGGATTTCCTACTAAACAACGATCGTTGTAGTAGCGATGATTTTCTTAATCGCGACGATGGAAGCATCGACATGATTGTCTATAAAGTTGAGGGGCCACGTTCAAACTTTGGGGGAATATCATCGATCTCATCGATGGGGAACCCAAAAGACTTCGAATGACTTCGAAACCGAACGAAACCGACAGCCAGACAAATATCTATATCGAAGTCGTTAACAGAATCTATGGTAAAACAAAATCTATGTTTGACTGCCCACTTTATACCCCCTCCCCCAACAGAGAATGCCTCTAACACACTTTCCTTTGAAAAGGGTCCTTGGGGTGAAAGGGGTCCTGGGCGCGCCGCGCGCGCCAAAATGGCTTCAATTTTGACACCTTTTTGGCGCGCGCGGGCGGCGCGCCCAGGACCCCATTCACCCTGAGGACCCCTTTCAAGGGAAATCTTCTTCTCTATAAAGTGGCCAGTCCAGGTAAAACCCCTGAAAAAACAGAATCTATGTTGGACTGGCCACTTTATACCCCCTCCCCAAACAAACAGAGAATGCCTCTATAAAGTGGCCAGTCCAGGTAAAACCCCTGAAAAAACACATTTTTACCTGGAATGGCCACTTTATACCCCCTCCCCCAACAGAGAATGCCTCTATAAAGTGGCCAGTCCAGGTAAAACCACTGAAAAAAACAGAATCTATGTTGGACTGGCCACTTTATACACCCTCTCCCAACAGAGAATGCCTCTATAAAGTGGCCAGTCCAGGTAAAACCCCTGAGAAAAACAGAATCTATGTTGGACTGGCCACTTTATACCCCTCCCCCAACAGAGAATGCCTCTATAAAGTGGCCAGTCCAGGTAAAACCCCTGAAAAAACAGAATCTATGTTGGACTGGCCACTTTATACCCCCTCCCCCCACAGAGAATGCCTCTGTAAAGTGGCCAGTCCAGGTAAAACCCCTGAAAAAACAGAATCTATGTTGGACTGGCCACTTTATACCCCCTCCCCCAACAGAGAATGCCTCTATAAAGTGGCCAGTCCAGGTAAAACCCCTGAAAAAAACAGAATCTATGTTGGACTGGCCACTTTATACCCCCTCCCCCAACAGAGAATGCCTCTATAAAGTGGCCAGTCCAGGTAAACCCCTGAAAAAATAGAATCTATGTTGGACTGGCCACTTTATACCCCTTCCCCCAACAGAGAATGCCTCTATAAAGTGGCCAGACCAGGTAAAACCACTGAAAAAACGGAATCTATGTTGGACTGGCCACTTTATACCCCCTCCCCCCAACAGAGAATGCCTCTATAAAGTGGCCAGTCCAGGTAAAACCACTGAAAAAACAGAATCTATGTTGGACTGGCCACTTTATACCCCTTCCCCCAACAGAGAATGCCTCTATAAAGTGGCCAGTCCAGGTAAAACCACTGAAAAAACAGAATCTATGTTGGACTGGCCACTTTATACCCCCCTCCCCCAACAGAGAATGCCTCTATAAAGTGGCCAGTCCAGGTAAAACCCCTGAAAAAACACATTTTTACCTGGAATGGCCACTTTATACCCCCTCCCCAACAGAGAATGCCTCTATAAAGTGGCCAGTCCAAGTAAAACCCCTGAAAAAACACATTTTTACCTGGAATGGCCACTTTATACCCCAGCCAGTGGGCTCCAGGACTTTGACCCGGAAACGGAAGGACTGACAACAAGGTAAAGGGGGAAAACTACAACGGAGAGGTACAACGGGAAGGCTACCACAAGAACATGAGACATGTCACGTTTATATACGTTTATTGTTTTCAATGTGTCATATAGATTGGCGATGATTGGTATATTGAATATGTTGTAGATGTATTTTGGAACATATGTATACCTATGATTCACACATCAATATAAATATATATAAATCATAAACACATGCCAAATCAAAAACTTGTAGCTGAGTATTGTATTCCCAATCTGTTGGCAAATGTCCAGCCGATTCACCATGCGTGACCCAACAAGATTCAAACTATGGATTGTTTACTTTTGAAAAAAATACTGGGTGAATCTACGTATATCTATGACGACAATCTCCCAAAATCATCCTAAAAATCTATGGACATCTATGGACCAAAACCACGGCCACATGCCCATCCTCTATAAAATGGTTTGCCAGAAAGTTCAGCTCTATAAAGTGGCTTGATCACGTCATTTCTGGCAGCCCCACCCTCTGTATAAACTGGCCGGTCCATGCCCATCCTCTATAAAATTGTTTGCAAGAACCAGTAAAAAAATATATTCGAAAGTAAACAATCCATAGTTTGAATCTTGTTGGGTCACGCATGGTGAATCGGCTGGACATTTGCCAACAGATTGGGAATACAATACTCAGCTAAAAGTTTTTGGTTTGGCATGTGTTTATGATTTATATATATTTATATTGATGTGTGAATCATAGGTATACATATGTTCCAAAATACATCTACAACATATTCAATATACCAACCATCGCCAATCTATATGACACATTGAAAACAATAAACGTATATAAACGTGACATGTCCCATTTTCTTGTGGTAGCCTTCCCGTTGTACCTCTCCGTTGTAGTTTTCCCCCTTTACCTTGTTGTCAGTCCTTCCGTTTCCGGGTCAAAGTCCTGGAGCACACTGGCTGGGGTATAAAGTGGCCATTCCAAGTAAAAATGTGTTTTTCAGGGGTTTTACCTGGACTGGCCACTTTATAGAGGCATTCTCTGTTGGGGGAGGGGGTATAAAATGGCCATTCCAGGTAAAAATGTGTTTTTTCAGGGGTTTTACCTGGACTGGCCACTTTATAGAGGCATTCTCTGTTGGGGGAGGGTTTATAAAGTGGCCAAGTCCAACAAGATTATGTTTTTTCAAGGGGGTCGCGGTTGTTTTACCTGGACGGCCACTTTATAGAGGCATTCTCTGTTGGGGGAGGGGGTATAAAGTGGCCAGTCCAACATAGATTCTGTTTTTTTAGGGGTTTTACCTGGACTGGCCACTTTATAGAGGCATACTCTGTTTGGGGACGGGGTATAAAGTGGCCACTCCAACATAGATTCTCTTTTTTCAGGGGTTTTACTTGGACTGGCCACTTTATAGAGGCATTCTCTGTTGGGGGATGGGGTATAAAGTGGCCAGGCCAACATAGATTTTTTTTTTTTTCAGGGGTTTTACTTGGACTGGCCACTTTATAGAGGCATTCTCTGTTGGGGGAGGGGGTATAAAGTGGCCAGTCCAACATAGATTCTGTTTTTTCAGGGGTTTTACTTGGACTGGCCACTTTATAGAGGCATTCTCTGTTTTGGGAGGGGGTATAAAGTGGCCAGTCCAACATAGATTCTGTTTTTTCACGGGTTTTACCTGGACTGGCCACTTTGTAGAGGCATTCTCTGTTGGGGGAGGGGGTATAAAGTGGCCAGTCCAACATAGATTCTGTTTTTTCAGGGGTTTTACCTGGACTGGCCACTTTATAGAGGCATTCTCTGTTGGGGGAGGGGGTATAAAGTGGCCAGTCCAACATAGATTCTGTTTTTTCAGGGTTTTACCTGGACTGGCCACTTTATAGAGGCATTCTCTGTTGGGGGAGGGGGTATAAAGTGGCCAGTCCAACATAGATTCTGTTTTTTCAGGGGTTTTACCTGGACTGGCCACTTTATAGAGAAGAAGATTTCCCTTGAAAGGGGGTCCTCAGGGTGAATGGGGTCCTGGGCAGCTCTATAAAGTGACTTGGATGATGTATCTCATGACTCTATAAAATGCTCTGCCGCAATTTTCTTTCTATAAAGTGCCCTGGATGCAGCACAAATTCTTCTTCTTAAAGGGCAAGTTTCACTCTATAAAGTGCTTTGCCATGTATACAGCCCCAACAGAAAAATATTGGCCCGAAATAATTGGGGAGACATGTTTCTATAAAGTGGATGGTGTGACATATTATGGCCATTCTTTGAAGGGAACCAACGGTCTATAAAATGCATTGCCGCATATATTGAGTCGTTTCCTTGTGGGAAACCAGCCGGGTATAAACTGGAAAGCCAACGTTCTAATAAAGTCATCTTCCAGGTCCAAGGGCATGTTTCTCGCGCAAAACACGGCTTTATCCCCCATTGTCGGTATATAAAGTGGCGACCGGAAACCCACTTTATAAGCGCAAAGGATGTCCACTTTATAGTGAGCTATACATGGGGGATATGTAGACCATAATTATCCATGATGTTCATGCCTTGTCACCTGCCTTGTTGGAGGTCTTGGCCACAAAGGTGAAGGGTGCCTGCACACTATACACCACCTGAGCCGCATCGGCGCCGGAGCTGCGGCGATTTTTGTTCGAATCTTCGGCAGGGGCATGAAAAAAGATTGATGTGGGCAAAAGAATGCCATAAACCATCCATTTGGAAATGGTTTATACATGTTTATACCAATTAAAAAATGGTGATGACTGGGGGATGGTTTTTTTTAATGTTTGTTTTACCCACATTATAGTTAAGAATGACTTATAAGAAAGCATATTTTTTTGTACAAATGAAGGACCTAGCTAACATCTCACATAGGCGGACGACCCTCTCTTTTAACCAATCCGCTCTGATCCATGAAAAAAATGATTGCAATAATAGCTAGAGTGAGTGGATTGTACAAAATAATCCACAATAAGAAATCATAATAATGAACAAAAATTAATCATATATAATTGATAATCAGTATTCATAAGTAGTGGACTTTATCAAGCAAATGAACATGGCTTCCCAGTTTTCTTGATCGAGTTGGTTCGGATTTGGCAGGACAGGCTGCTTTTCGTTCCAGCTCGCCATGCAGAACCAGCATTCCCGGCTGACAGAAACACCGTGAAAACATTGGAATGTACAATGGTGGATTGAACGGTAAAAAGCTAATTTGGGTTTGTCTGAAAATAGTGTAGCCCTACACCCAATAGATCCCAATGGTTAATGATCATTATCCCTACTTTTTATGGCTATTTCATTGGGAAAATAACCCCATTTTCAGACATAGCCATTTGTAAAAAAAAGAACTGCCATTGCCTCGGGGTAAATTGACATTGCTGTTTGCTTTCCTGGGAAAGGTTGATCTACAAATGGCGGGTGAAAACCATGCATTCAGCATATCCATGTTGATTACTGGAGAGTAGAGACATCAGTGAAGCCAATGATGAAGCTTGTCCACAATTCAAAGCTCGAAGTGTCTTTAGAACTATTGAGAACTAGCAAATCACTAGCATGACAACCCAGCCCTTGAAATGTTGAAACATTATGAAACATGATGAAGTCTGCCACTTGGATCCATTTTGGATCCATTTGGAAGCCATTTGGAAGCCATTTGGATCCTGTTCTTGGCGCCAGCCAAGGGGCGGCTTTCACATCCACCGATGTTTCGGGCGGCATATTGGCCACATCGCACAGGGGCTTGAAGTCATAGCCTGTCAGCCAACATGGCAGGAAAGGTGCGGAACTCATCAGAAATCTGGGCTGAAGCGGAGTTTTCATGAGTTTTCGTCATCTTTGGCAGGTTCCACCGCGTGTTCAATGAATCATCACACCTGAACTGGTGGACCTTTATAGGTTAGTTCTCTAGGCGAAGAACATCATTTCTTGGGCAATCTCTCCATCATCCTTAGCCCTGTCCCATCTGTCCCATGTCGAGCCACTTATCCGTGGAATGTTGGTATCTTCCTCAACGGCCTTAATGTCTGCATGCCTCGGCGTGTACCCACTACGTAGTCCAATAATGTCCCCGCCATGTCAAAAAATCCCCGAGTTTCTGACGGAAACTCATCGGGCTCAGTCTTGTATCAATACCAAAATAGCTGGTAAATGATGGTAAATGGATGTTCATCCCACTAAAATTGATATAAATTGATAATAATAGGTTTTGACCCATCCCCATATGATTAAAATATGGCTTCGCCTACACAAACAGCAAAACCCATGGTAACCGAAAAACTCCTGAAACCCTGAAACCGCTGCGGCTAAGGCACTCCTCGAAGGATAGCACAAAGTCCCCACCTTAGCGGCACAAAATCCTCGAGATCGCATGGGGATGCTCCGCCGTGATCAGAGAAAAGGTCTTCGGCTCGAAAGCATCGAGTTGCTGTGATGTTTGATACAGTAGGTAGATAGATAGGATAGGATAGGATAGGATAGGATAGGATAGGATAGGATAGATTAGATTAGATTAGATTAGATTAGATTAGATTAGATTAGATTAGATTAGATAGATTAGATTAGATTCAGATTTAGATTTAGATTCAGATTTAGATTCAGATTTAGATTCGATTAGATTTAGATAAGATAAGATTAGATTAGATTAGATTAGATTAGATTGGATAGATTATATAGATTAGATTAGATTAGATTTAATTGGATTTGATTAGATTAGATAGATAGGTAGATACGTAGATAGGTAGATAGGTAGATAGGTAGGTAATGGTAGATATTGGTAGATATTGGTAGATATTGGTAGGCAATGGCAGGTATTGGTAGGCAATGGTAGATAATGGTAGATAGATAGCTAGACATAGTTAGACAGATAGTTAGACAGATAGTTAGACAGATAGTTAGACAGATAGTTAGACAGATAGTTAGACAGATAGTTAGACAGATAGAATGGGTCACAAACCAGCCTTAGGAGGCGGCAAATGTTCTCCGTTTCCAGCTAGCAAGTATTTATTATAGATTCTAGTGTCGTCATGTCGTATCTATCTAATTTTGGTACTACATGTACTACCCTATGTCATCCCATCCGCATACCTCTTTGAGCTGGTGCAACCAATGAACCCCCCAGCCACGGCACTGTCGTAGCGTTTGTTGGCGGCTTTCACTTGCCCCTTCTGAAAAGTGTAGACCTGGACGCTTTCAGAGTGTGGATCTATGCAACTGAAGCACTGGGATTGAACAACCGGCGGCGCCGATTTGTGCTGCCCCATCTCACACCATGGTGAGATATCTCTGATTCCCAAAAATAGCTGGGCATTCCCCCAGCTAAACGGCAAAATATATGCTTCAAATTGGAGTATTTGGAGTGTGATCCCGTCCCTCTGATACTAAATACTCACAATATCTCGCAATAAGGGACCCCACAATGGATAGATCCAATAGGAGACTATTGACTATTCAAAACTAGGGTTTCGCCCGGTGGCGGGTATTTAACATTCGGGGAAGGGCATCTTCCATGTTTACCCGCACGAAAGGTAGAAAAGTATTTTTAAAAAATGCAAGCATAATCATCATGCTAAAATCAAGGTAAGGACATGCGTAAGATACTTTTCGATCTTTTTTGGGGGGTTGCCATAGATATAAATAGTCCACCACCACAAAACAACTTTGCAGCCTTGCCTGGCCGCACTTCAGCATGTTGTAGTACTTATCCACAGCGCGCCCAAAAAAGGTCGCAGACATCTCCCCCGACTGATCCTTCAGGTCCACCTGTGTCAGTTAATGTCAGTTGAGGTGGTTTTGTCGAACACCCAAGAATCACAAAAAGTGGGGAATCTAATATCTGGATTAAATAATTACATAATATGATATGAACATCTATTGGATAAATGGAGGAAAGAAATGGATAGAGAGGGTCTATCTACACCCCTGCAAGCGTGGAAACCAACAAATGTCGAAGAAAAGAATCTTCCAGGATTTCCATCTTACCCTCCAGTAAATTAACATAGACCCTGGCAGTCATCGGGGTTGCAAGATGAGTTTCCACTAAGAATGGGTTATTTTCAGGGTCTATGTTAATTTACCAGAGGGTACCCTCTGGTAAACTAACATAACTATGGAAAATCACCATTTTTAATGGGAAAATCCACTATAAATCACCATTTTCAATAGCTATGTTAAATTACCAGAGGGTAAATGGACATGATATGACTAGGGACCTTCCGCCACGTTGGATTCCCGGCACTCCGCCTTAAACAGCTGCCCCTCCCCACGGCTGTTGTTGAACTTTCGCACGTCGCTTTTGGTCAGCACCCGAGCCTATGGAGAGGCACGACTCAGGAGCTCAGTTCGAGAACCAAGGGATTGATGATTGGTCTGGAGAAAAACGAAACATCCTCGTTCTCATCTCAACATTCCTTGCCCATCAGCATTGTGCATTTCCAGCCAGCATGATTAGTACAGTAACAAATGACCCGCAAAAAATGTTACAAGATGTTACAAGGCTTCCAAAAATGGTTGTCCAGACTCTTCCGAGAGAACATTGCTAGTATAATTCCCCACATCACTATGTGGGGTTCTTCTGGTGTCTAATCCCATTTTCAGACCCCAACCAAGAACTATCAAGAACTCGTGGCCATTGGCGTGCTCTACCTGGGTGGCCCATTTCCAAGTGGATGCAGGACCACCTTTAGAGGGATCATAATTGATATGATTATAGAAGTTTTTTAAATTAGGCTACCCAAAAACCATGGGTTTCAATACCAAAATTGTCTAATTCTGGATTATTTGGGGTAGCCTTGTTTTAGGAAAGCCCCATAATCCAGAAATAACACCAACTGCACCCCCCAAGCATGGACATGATGCGACGCGAGCATCGACGCCTTGATTGTCCAGCGTCCCCCGTAATAGGCGGTGAGCATTTCTCAGCGGAACAACGGAGGGAATTACCCAGAATCGGGGGGGACACCGGGATATGCGACAATGGTCAGTTTAAATGGCAAAATGAAGATAAAACAATGCAAAACAATACAAAACATATATGTGCATGCACATATGTATATATATATATACAAAACACATGTATATATAATACAGTATATAATATATGTCATTATATATCATTATATATCATATATACCCAGTGATTCCAAAGCACGTATCTGCTATAGTCGTTCGCTTTTTGGAGGCAGCTATCATTTGCTATCATTTGCTATCATGGTTTCCTGGTAAAATCGTTCACTTCATGAACCTAGGCTCCCGAACAAATCCCGAACATACGCTGGAACGGAGGTTTTAACATCGAACGACTATACCTGGATTTCACTGAACGAATATACCAGGAAACTGGCCCCTTATGGGCCCGTAAGGCCCATATCAAATCGTATCATCCAGAAACTGGCCTGCAACGCCCAATATGTAAATCCTAAACATTTAGATACATTTGGGGATATTGAAGGAAAGGACGCATGTATAGAGCCCAGCGCAAAGTTTACATGAACCATAAACCACTACGGAATCAGCACCATGTTTGTCTTCACTTCAGAGCCCCAAAAATCATTTTTTCACCTTCGAAAAATCTGCGGACGTCGTCCGCTTTGGCGCCGATCTGGCGCATCTTGCGCCGATGGATCTCAACATCGAACTGGAATGGAGGTGGTACTGAGGTAACCCTTCACCTTCTGGATGGGTACCTGAAGAGAGGCAAAGGGAATGGGAGAAGCCGCGGCTGTGATTTCCTCCCGTTGGCACATGTCATGAATTCAATCATTTTTGGTGCGTATTGAACATCGGAAGCGATTTATATACTGTACTTGGATCACATCCGCTGTTTTCCAATACGGGTGTCTGAAAATGGGACCCTAAACAACAGTTTCTACAGGGGAAATATGGGGAAATGATGATAAACCAATGGATTTTGGGATATTTTGGGGTACCCTATTCTCAGGCAAACCTAAATGGATACATGAGTTGTGTGGAAATCCCGCAGGTTTCTCTCTCTCTCCATGGCCACCATCAGGTTCTGCCATCCATGGGTTGCAGGGGAGGGGGTTCACTGCTGAAGGGGCTGTCTGCTGAATACCCCCGAATCAAATCAGACCCAAGTATGATATGGTTGGATGTTCCCATGACCATTCCAATCATCACCAAGCAAAAACATGGTGTATCACCATGAAATCCCCGTATCTTATATTATTTTATCCCATTGATGTTCAATATTGCCATGAAAAAACCATCAACCCACCATGGAAATCACCATGAAATCGCCATGAAGGCCCCACCTCTTCCCGATGAAAGATGCCCGCCGCCAGCGCTGCATCGGCTTCGCCCACGGCCAGGGCGTCCTCGAAGTGCTCGGGGCAGCCAGCGCCGCTGCTGGCGATCACCGGCAACGTGCAAGCGGACTTCACCTGGAGGCTACTCTGCGGAGCCCCAGAAGTTGGGAGATAACCCTTGTAACTTTGGATAAATATGTAAGTTGGGAGATAACCCTTGTAACTTTGGATAAATATGTAATTTAATTATATATATGTGTGTGCACATATTATATATACATATATATATAATATGTGTGATATATATATATAAATATATATACATATGCACTGATAAGTGGAACTGCACTTCCAAGTGGAACAAACAGGTATGAATTCAACCGGTTGTCGGTAACACAAAAACGCGAAATACGGCAAATCCATGGTGGGTTCCAACTTTGGAAATGATGTACCGACCAATGGTGGAATTTCCATGTCTTAGTTGGGTCACTGGTTATAAAAGGTGGAGGAACGTCAACTGGAAAATGTATGGTGTTTAGCCCCAAAGCTGGGAAGGTGACATCATGACATCAGACATCGTAAAGATATATCGATAACAAGTCGATGGATTGATATAACATGATATAACAGGATAATGTTCAATACATCATGTGGTTTTATCATGTGATATCTCCATTTGTATAGTGGTACCTAAACCCTATGTATCAGCATTGCTCCAAGCACACCAGATACGAGGGTGAAATTTTCCGAGATAAAGGGGTAAATCCACCAATTCCCACCCCTTGTCGCAATAATTAGCCTGCTATAGGTTGGAGCGTGCGTCTTGCAGAATAGTGTGGGATGTCTATTTGATCTGTGCTTTCGAGATTCCTTGTGGATTTTTGAAGGGGAACATGCCCAAAACTGACCGCACAAAAACCGAAAAACAAATGATTAAAAAAGGGGGTATTCCAAACGAACTCCTGCAGGACCACCACAAGTTGCATGTTGCACGACTTTAGAGATCTAGTCTCTCATGGTCCAAACACACATTGGCATATATTAGGTACATTAAACCATCTTAGACTCAAAGGTGCACAGTAGTTGTTTTGGTGGGGGGGTTGGGGGGTGGCGGGGGTTAATAACGTTCAATGGCCTTCATTCCTCTAGCCCTATCAAATTGATCATCAACCTTCCAAGACGCTGTTTGTTGATGCTACTCTATCAACTTGGTCTTCTAACTTCTAACTTGTATTTGATGCTACGCTATCAACTTCATCGTGTATCTACCATGCACTGCAGGGACGCAAACAATAGACCGTGTATGGCTGAACCCAAAAATATGGCTCCCTTGCAAGCGGTGGAAAAAAAGGACGGCCATCACTTTGTCAACAAAGAAATGAAACGTATGATGCTACAATGGACATGGCGTCAGACTGTGTTACCCTGTTCACCAAAAGATATGATGACACACCTTGTGAAACTTTTGGAAAGGCATGACGGTTGAATACCTTCCTGCAAAAACGGAATAGTTTGGGGGCATGTCAAAAACCATAAAATCAATGCTTTTTCCAATGGCAGGAAGGTATGAAACCACTTTTCCCAATGGCAGGGCGATTTTTCACGGGCAGAAAAATGCCAAATCGGCACAGTAGAAGTGCGAGGAAAAAGAACGAACTCAGCTGAGTTCGTCGTGCTGCGATTATGTCACGGGCGGCACATTAGTTTGAAAGAGGCAATTCATCCCCAGCTAGAAGGTCATTCAAGACATTTCAAGACCAAACAAACAGGAGTGGAGTTAGCAAAACATGGCGGCGAAACCGTCAATTTGTTCACTAATTTAGTGTGTCCCTTTCCAAACGTTCAAAGCCCTGTTTCATCAAATGCGTATTCTAGGTAGATGCATTACCGTACAGGGAAACAGAGTTTCTACATTGGCACACACATCCTCACAATGCGTAACAGCTGGGGTTTGTTGTGTCTTGAAAACAGCTGGAGACTGACCTGAGCCGTTGCTATCGCGAATGGAATGAGCAGATTAGTGGCTGGTGGCTTCAAGGGCCCACACAGCACAAAGCTATTGTATTTTTAATCAATTATGCTCATTGCAGGGAAGGATGCCAAAAAAAAAAAAAACAGATTCAATATCCCCAAAACCACCTAGAATTCCAATGAAACACCCCGAAACCAATTTCAAAAATGTTCCCAAAAAAAAACCTAGAAGCATGGACCCCTCATCAAAATCCCAAAAACCTCCAGCTCAAATCCAGCGCCTGCTGGATGAGTTCCAACTCATAACCGTTGCCCTGGCCATCGCGATTGATGCAGTTCAATAGCAGCTCTCCGGCACCTAACGCCTCCACGGCTTGCGCCAGCCTGGGCGCCAGAAAGGATGTGGAACTTCATCCAGCAATTTTTATCCTATAAATTATTGCTGGATGATTGGATCGAAGATCTTATGTGTGTATGAATATTTGGTAGTTAGAGGAAAAAAACATATGTTCAGAATCTACGAGGTTAGGGTGTGTAATTTATGGTTTAAGAAGATGTATTAATTAAGGTGTATGCGCATGTATCTGTTCGTTGGAAGATATTGAAAGTATAGGATCGGTCGGTTTTGATCAAATTTGAGCACCTGTAGGTTACACTAAAACTTTAATATACTCTTTACCTGGACTTGGAAAACTCAAAGAAAAGTGCGATCACGTATGTCGTTGGTGTCCTTCTGCGAGTCAATGCATTGTAATCTTTACATCCAAGGACGGTTCTTGAGTTCTTGAGGAACCAACCAAAAATTGTCGTATTGTCGTTGTACCGCAGTTTGTGTCCGTGGTCATGAGAAGAGCCTGCGAAGTGACAAATCAGAAAGAATTTGGTGTTCTTCTTACCTTGGCAGTATATTCCCACATCTTTGATGATGTTGAGACATCATGTTTCTGGCCTTCCAGCTTTGGGGGGTTCCCCTGAACAGCGTGAAGCCGTTCAACACTCCCCAAGCGTCAAACCAAGAAGCTGCACCACATCAAATTCGCTGTCTTCCCGGCCACCCTTTACGGTGCAGCAGTACCTGGCAGTAAAGATCTTCCCCCGACTTGTCACCGCCCCAAAACCCACCCAAAACCAGTTGGCCTGAGGGGGTCACAATTATCAAACTCCCCAAAACTTGGATGCTTTAGCTTTAGATCCTCAAAATGATAAGTCAGGCGATTTCAGTATCCATGTGTAGCTCCAAAATACTATCCCAACATATCCCAACATTCCCCCAAAAAAAAAAGAACAACTTAATCAACTTTGAAGTGACTTGATCCCAATTGATCCCAATATCCCCAGCCATCCCCAGCCAAGATACCAGGCGAAGGCTTCCCCATTGGGACCTTTGGGCGTTCCTTTCTCCGAGCCCAGTGGGCCCACGCAGTGATGCTCCGTGCTGCCTCTGTCCGCCACATAGACCCTGCGGGGATCCAAAGAGACCACCACTGCCTGCGAGGGTAACAAAGCTATGGCTGCGACCAGGGGAAATTGGTCACGTTTAAAGGGACCAAGATGTGGTCATGTGACATAGTCATGTGTCATCGTTGGGGGCCCAGGATGGCCAATGACTTCTGACCGAAAATGTATATTATTTATGGAGATCACTCGCCACCCTGGAGGCCCTGGAGTTGAGCGCAATGGCTTTCTATCACATCCTCCAGCTTGGTATGAGCATGGATAACCTCCGTGACAGCAATGGAAGAAGATGGAAGAAACCTCTAAGATTTCTATAGATGTCTTGATCTTCCAGAAATTCTCAATCTTTCCCAGCCCACCCCGGGAGTCCCTCCCTTATGTCAAAAACACCCCCGAGAAATCTTGGTTCTCGGGGGTTCCATATGATGGGTAGTGAATATTCGCGGGACGACTACCCAACCACAGCTTCCTGGGAAACGTTATCAGTTGTGATCATCAATATAAAGATTAAGGCAAAGACACACACATATATATATATACATATATATATATATACATATGTATATATATATATACATATATGTGAATTAATTATCTATAGATATATGCCGTACCTACACTAAGCAAGAATATGTTACTGTATCCCCCAAGCGAAATGATTCAAGTCCGAAGAAGCCAAAACGAAACCCACTTTGATATACATATGTTATCATATGTTTACTCCAAGCAATTGCCACTGCACCTGGCGCCCATACTTTGTGCTGATGAGTTCGATGGAGGACGTGCCGTCGCCCTTTCGCCCCGAGGCGTAGAAGGCGCGCGTCGCGTCCACGGCGTCCGAACCGATGGAGATCTTATCGGCGCCTGAGACCAGCCAAGGGGTCGGAAATCTGGGGAGACCACGGCATCCAGGGCCCAAAGTGATAAACTGCTGGGCTGTTGAATTAGTTTAAATAACATTGAGATACATTGAGTACAACTCTTGGTGGCCATGTATCACACTATATCATACTATATATATATATATATATCACGCTGTATCACTTTTTGAAGGATCCCCCACTGATTTTGATTGATAACTGAAGGTGAATGCATCTCGGGAAGTCATTTGGGACAAGCGTTCCGAATAAATCCAAATAAGGCTTAAAACAGAAAAAAATAAACCTTGCCGCCCTCCCCATCATCATCATCATCATCATCATCGTCATCATCCTCATCCTCATCCTCATCCTCATCCTCATATATCCTCATATCGTCCCTACCGGCCCTACCGGCCCTACCGGCCCTACCTCAAGACGGCTCAAGCTTCAAAATTCCGCCACCCCAGCGGCCCCACCTGCTCGAAAGTAAGCATCCGCCACATCCAGCGCACTGTAACTTTGACCGTTGCCGTCCACGTAGGATCCTTGAACTTGCTTCAGATGGCCCTGCCAAAAAAAAAAAACTGTATTCCCCCGCATAGATTCCCCAGTCATTAGTGGATTTATGTGGATTTCCCATTCTTTGAACACCAAAAACATCACACAGCAAATTGAAGCAAGATATTAATTCCACCACCCGCCATCATGAAATACCCCCCATCCCCAGGTCCCCCCATCCGGCCCCATCCCATGAGACCAGCGCGCGCCAGGGATCGGATGCCTCCTCCCACCGTCAAGGGTACAAAAACGCGCTGCGCCGAAGAGCGTAGGACTTCCAGCATGGGCTGATCGGCCAGGACCATATCCTGCCGCCATCTGTGTCAGTTAGGTCAACATGGTCAAGCCTCCAAACGCAACTCACCAGTATGACTTTCGATGGATATACAAAATGTGGCTAAATATCTGATCACACCTTATCTTTTTCAAATTTTCGGTTCAGACCAGTATTCATGTGTATGAGTTTGATTGATTTTGTATGTATATGGAAAAACGCTTAGTCTGACTGTATCTGATCTTTTTTTTGCTGATGGAAGCTGCTTATGAGAGAAACAGAGAAATATGCACATAGAAATACCATGAAAATCCATGAAATAGCGTCTGGTAGGTCTAACGTGCCAGTGGAAAACCCCCATTGAAACTAGTCTTTCAAGCGAGAAGTTTCCAGTGCCAGGTTGGAGTGCGCCAACGAGGGTCTGCAATCGAGACGCCCTGAAAGCTGTGATGTTGAGGAAGGAGACTTCCTGAGGATCAGATATTTAGCCACATTTAACCACAATTAACCACAATTATCTGAATATCTGATGGTTCCATTGCAAGCTTCATGTCATCCTTGCATCACAAATCAGAAGCAGGGTGCACTGAGAATCACCAAAAATTCATCGGTCGTTGAACCAAGAACTGGCAACCGCTTGAAATCTGAAATTTCACTTTAAGTCGAAACTTTACTTTGGGCCTCCGACTCTTCAACCACCAAAAAGTCTATGATGCAAAGCCAACGGTGCAAAGCCACGAAGCTTCTGCTTTTAGTTTCTTGGGATGTCATGACAATCAGTCAACACGTCCTGCCACTTTCCGAAACCATTTTCAAAAATACCCCCCTTCAAGCGGCAACAGCCATGAATTTGAAAGGACATGTTCATGACAGTCATTCCCCTTGTATTTCATTCAATGGATTGGTTTTAAGGGTCAATTTACAGGAAACCCATCTTTTTTTTCATAGGAAAATCATGGAAAATCATGGAACATCCATTTTCGCTTAAACCAATCCCACGCCAAGCTGCATCGGCCCCATCTTGGTAGTAGCGTTCCGCCAGCGCCACCGGCTTGCCGTGGTTTCGCACGCCGCCATCGCCCTTCTCCCGCACATCGTATTGGTCCCCCTGGCGATTTCAAGATGGGGGTAGACGGTTTAACCATGAACATAGTGATTGAATGGGATTTCATGAGTATATCATGGGGATATACAGCCATATACAGCCTACTTGGGGATAATCCTGGTAATATTCCCCATAAGTTGGGATATATGTCTATATACATTCCCTGGCATTTTTTTGAACGATTGTTCCATCATTTTTCCACAGTTGTCTGGTTGAAAACGGCTGGGCACGCTGCTGTTCACTTGTGGCTGGGTAAGTTGACATTAAAAAAATGTGACCATGCAGAAGGTTCCAGGGGGCGAAACCACGTCGTCCATTCTGTGAATGACGAGGTGACCATGGGGTATACGGTATAGGTCAAAGACCCGCCCGCAAAATTCGTCGCTTTCAGATACTTTGAGTTTAGTATGGTAGTATGAGTATACAGTTGACTAATCCAACCGTCCATTTTGACCTAAACCATGCCTATTCGCCACACAAAACAATTGTATCCAACCATTATCCCTACTAAACATTAAACCACGCAGTTTGCATTATATAGCAGCCCCCCCTCCACCAAATGCAGAAACAAATTCATAAATGTATCACTGTCACTGCCATTATGGGATGTTATTTCTCTGCATCTTGTTGGGGGTTACCCTCTGGTAATTTAAGATAGCTATGAAAATAACAATGTTCAATAGGCACATCAACTCTAAATGGCCCTTTCCAGTGTGCTATGTGAAATGACCTTACCGGGTAAATCATCCCCTAAAATCCCATGAAATCCCATGAAAATTATATACATCCCCTATCATCCCATGAAATGCCATGGAAGATCATCTTGTTGGAGGTTTAATTGGGGTTCCCTTAAATTTTCATGGGTCATGACTGATGTCCCCATTTTTCACATCACCCAACCAAAATCGGTATATGGTCTACTAGATGGCTACTATAAGGTGATGTCCAATATTCCCAAAATGGGACACTTACCAACCCCTTTAAATGTTGGTGGTTAATGGTGGTTACATCTGGTGTTACCCAAATCATCCCGTCATCCAATCGACATGGGGATCCCAGGGGATCCCCATGACGTCGGAAACCACTGATGAGATCCCATGGAAATCCCATGGAAATCCCATGAAATTCATCCCATTGATTGATGGAATAGTCATCTTGTTGGGCGAAAAATTCGCCATCCAGACCTTGGGGAAGCCGGTGACCCCCAGGTGACCTTGGTCACCACTAAGTCGCCGGTATCGTTGGCCCGCACGTCCAGACCTAGGTCTGGGCGCCTGGGCGTAAATCCATCAAAGAAACAGTCAAAATATGTCAAAAACCCATGAAAACATATGGCTATGGATCAATACCTCGAATACCTATTAATACCATTTTTAGTGGGATGAACATCCATTTTCCAGCTATTTTGATGTTCACCAGGGGTACAAGGTTTTGACCCACTGCCATATGTCAAAAACCCATGAAAACATCTATGAAAACCATCCATCCCACATCCATGAAACTGGCAAAATCACTGAAATCTCCTGAAAAAACTCCATCGATGAAATCCATCGAACTCCATCAGAAACTCCATCGAAAATCATTCAAACATCCAAGAAAGTAATTAATAATATATAGATATACATAGCTCTTATCTATTCTTTTCTTCTCATGAAATCATATGAAATCCATCATGAAATCCATCTCAAACCTCTCCAACTTCAACTGAAACGTCACCCAGCAGCATGCAATGATCCTCCTGGCCGGCGACGCCGGCTGCACGCTGGCCGCTGCGGCCATGGCAGCAGGGCCGCTGGGGGCGCTGCCAGCCAGCCAGGTGGCGAGGATGTGAAGGCCGGCCTCAAAGGGGTGAGGAAATTGGTGACGAATGCAACTACCCTCTGGTTATGACTAACATAGCCATGGAAAGATCCACCATTTTTAATAGGTAAACCATCTATTTCTATGGGCCATTTTCCATGGCTATGTTAAATAACCAGAGGGTATCCATTTCAGTAATGAATATATGAATAATAGTAACTAATCATACTAATCATGATTGTTTCCCTCATTGGAAAATGTGGAAAAATGTGGGAATGATTATGGAAATGATCATGCAACTCCTAGGAATTGTTGTAATTACCATGGCAATGATGGTGGCACTGAATCAATCAACAGTTTCATGGTAATAATGGTGGCATGTGGTGGCATTGAATCACCAAAATATGATAGTCTAAACATGCTTCCATACCAGGTCTATCATGGTCTTTTGGGATATGGTTTCATGACTTTTCTCGCCAGGACCGCCAGGATGCCGACGGCTTCTTTTCAAAAGGACAGCCTACTGAGTGAAAGTTCAAGCGGCAGTTTTCAATGTTTAAAGAACCTATAAGCAAATATTACCCTCCAGTAAACTAACATAGACCCTGGCAGATAGGGGTTGGAAGACTAGTTTCCCTTAAAAATTGGTGATTTTCAGGGTCTATATTTATTTACCAGAGGGTATACAATATCATTTCTTGTTGGATCGTGGTTTCGAGCAGGTCCGTCGTCCGTCAGATTTTGGTCGATGGTGGTGAAACGTCCCAAGATCCATAGAGGAATTCTGCATCGAAATCAGGTGTCCCTGCCTGAATTGTAGCGTTCTGCTCACTGAACCCACCCAGAATTACAGGTTGAACAGTCCCA